TTTTTGAAATGAACTTATGATTATTACATGCACAAGAGGTTTTATTTTAATATTCCCTAAGAGAAATTCCATGAGCAGAAAATAATGCAGCAAGAGAGTAATTACTTTAGAGTGTTTTTGGAAAGTGCTGTCTGTACTTCAAGATATGGTCAATGTAACATTTTACACGTGTAAAAGAAGATTTATAAATACTGCAAACACATTTTCTATGAATACCTCTATTTATTTACGATGTCAGAAAACATATAAAAGCACTAGTTTAGAACTTCAGCAATAAGTCTTTTAAATCAATTGTCTAGAGTTCTTTATGAGCTGCCTGAACATCTTCTACTGAATTCTGGGAGATAGAAAATGAAGCTGAGGAGAAAAGGTAACTGACTTAATTTAAATTTGGATCAAGATGTTTGTTTATTTCCTGCTAAAGTATTAAAATCTAAGAGAGGCCCTGTAACTTCACCTATACGAGCATTTAGTGGGCATTCGAATTAAATTGAGTTAGATCAAAATAATTTCATTTTTAAGAGAGCTCAATAGTAAATTATTTAGTTAATAAATATCTCTGATAAATGATTTGATTTCTCAGTCATAAACATTGTCACATTTAGAAGAAAAAAAAATGTTCTTTCCTCATCTCCACTTTCTATATCATAACCATATGCTCTGAGAAAAGACAGATTTTTTTTCCCTGAAAGGTATGCTTTCTTAAATTAAGGCTTTCTTAAATTTAAGGCTACAGTAATATCACTCGTTGCATGATTAAAATTAAGGTAGACTTAGAATTTAAACCAACTTTCAGAGACATAAAAACCCTTGCCAAAAAGTCCATTTCCCATGGATAGTGAAAAGTAATAATACAGAAGTAATAACATAAAATAAGTCTATGTTGCTGTTGTTGTTAAGTGCAATCCTGTCAGTTCCAACTCATAGCAACCCTGTATAGCGTTTCTGAGGAGTCGCTGGTGGGTTTGAATAATAAGGCTATGTTAGTGCAATCTTTATTTTCTCAGTTCAAGAATCATACTATACAAGTTTTTCTGGTGTGGCACTATAGGGTAAATATTGGACTGCTAACACAAGGTCAGTGGTTCAAGCCCAACAGCCACTCCTTGGAAACCATATACAGGGTTGCTCTGAGACAGAACTGACTCAACGGTGCTTAACAAAAAAAATAACAACATAAAATTATAGATAAAAATATAAATACACTTAAGCAAAAAAAATGTAACTTTGAGGGTCCATCAACAATAGCCACACATATTACAGAATACACTGATTCATAAACGCATGCTTTATACATGCAGCAAAAGTTGACAGATTTTGTTCTCAACCTGGCTGATGTTAGGCACAGCAGTAGAAACTGAGAGGTAAACTAGAAATCAGTTTAACTTATCAGAGGATAAACTGCCAGAAGGCAGGAGAAATTCCTTTGATTTTGACAAAACAATCATATTTTTTTCCCTTTAAATTACTAATGCTTTACAATGTCTCCCCAAAGTAGGAGCCAAACAAATATTTGATAACTCACTGAGGAATAAATGAACTTATTAGAGATCTGAGAGGAGAAACAAAAAGCAGACAGTAAATAAGAATATTTCAGCATTTGTGACTACTAAAAAGCAATAATATAAAAGTGATCTCTTTTTAGAAAGCTGGTAAGTGTGATACAATTGTTTTTACATGAAAAAAACAAGTAATGTCAAAACTTTTGACAGGAGCAACTGAGCAGGAATTGGCAGTAATGAGTCTAATTCTGCCACTAAATTTCAGTATCATTTAATATTTTAGTATCAGATTTCTTATTTCTGGAATGAGAGGACTGGATTAAATAGCATCCCAAGCACATTTACCCAACAAAATGTGATTAAGTTTTCTCACCTGGGTGGTTAAGAATAGATAGGAATTAACATGAAGATAAAAAAAAAAAAAGCCTAATCAGTTACACATTTTGAGGTGAAGATGTGCTTAAAAACGTATGCAAGGATTCATATGTTCATTCATTCTCTATATATTTCATTCATTCATTCATTCATTCAATCTCTATATATTTCCTCAAATAACATTTATAATGTTTCTATTGCTTTTCTTTCTAAGTCAAAACTTTTACCTTTAGAGAAATTAGGTAAAATATAGAATTTTGACTATTTTAAAAATTGCTGTAAACTACTTAATTTTTCAGACTTTGAATTACTATAACTTCAAAGTGAAGATAATATCTACTTCATATAGTTCTCTGAGTGGAGTCCTGGTGTGGTGCTGTAGGATAAGCACTGGACCGCAAGTTCGGTTTGAACCACAAGGTCAGTAGTTAAAACTAACCAGGTGCTCCTCAGAAACCCTATACAGGGTCACTAGCAGTTGGAACAGATTTGATGGCACTTAACAAGAATAACTGTAGTAGTTCTTTGAAGGATTCCATGTATGTAAAGTCTATGCATTGTATAGGTATGTACCTAAAATGCTGAGTACATTATAGGAATGTTCATAAGACTACATATATAGTCTCTTGTTGTTGTTGTTGTTAAGTGCCATCGAGTCAGGTCCGACCCATAGCGACCCTGTACAGGGTTTCCAAGGGTGTAAATCTTTACAGGAGTAGAAAGCCTCATCTTTCTCCCACGGAGCGACTGGTAGTTTCGAACCGCTGACCTTAAGGTTCGCAGCCCAATTCGTCTCTACTATAATATATTTAAATCCTACAAATGGAATTTTGATGGTAACATATATATTGAAAACAGACTACATGGGCAGAGGTCATGCAAACTTGTAAGAGTCATGGAGTTTTATATTGGTAAATGACCCTGAGGCTATTGTTTTACAGATCAAGATAAAAAAAAAAAAATATTAGTTTTTCCAAAGTTCCCAGCTAGGTAATAGCACACCTAAGCCAAGAACACAAATTTGCTGATATACTGAACTATAGTACCTTAATTGCTTCATTCACAAACAATAAAACTATGTATATATAAAAGCTTTTCCAAGCAACAAAAAAAGAATATACATGTAAGTAAATTTGAAATGCTATTCTGTCAGCTTCTTCAAGAGTTGTGACAGCATATTTTCACACTGCATTCCTGGAACCTGTTGTAGCCAAGATACTAAAAAATATGCTGTGAATCCCATACTATCAGAAAAATATCTGTAAACTAATGTCATTTCACAGTTGCACTGTAGGATAAAGTACTGGACTGCAAGGTCAGTTTGAATCATAGTGTTGGTGATTCAGATTTACCAGTCAATCCTCGTAAACACTCTACAGAGTTGCTATGAGTTGGAACCAACTACACAGCATTTATCAACAAAATAACACTCCTACAATACACGAGATGAAACCAGAAAAATATATGCTAATGAATGGAAAATCCTTCCAAGTGTTTATATGAAACTTTGCTTCAGGAAAGGTTTTTCAAAAACATAACATATATGTTGTTGTTGTTGTTAAGTGCCATTGAATTGGTCCGACTCATAGCCTGCCTGCCTAGGGTTTCTGTGTCTGTAAATCTTTATGGGAGCCTCATCTGTCTCCTTAGGAGCAGCTGGTGTACTCAAACTGCTGACCTTGTGATTTTCAGACTAGTGATTATCCTACAAAGCCACGCAATCCCCTGGGAAAAGAATTAACTTCCATCATTTATAAACATATACCCATTATTATGTAAATCATATTGTTGTTATTGTTAAAGTGCCATCGGTCAGTTCTGACTCAGTGCTCATATAAAGGGTTTCCAAGGAACAGCTATTGAGTATGAACTGCAGTCCAGTGATCATACATCACCATACCAGGGGCCCTAAATCAAATCACTGTCTCGGAAATCAGTATCTACTTTCTCACAAGCACACTTAATGCAAACCTAATGCTCATACTACACTGTACTAGAGTAAAAACTATTATGCGACAATGGAATAGGTAGAATTCTGATTTCTTAAACAAATGAGAAAAAGAAGAAAACCAAATACATTCAGGAAATCTTAATAAAAATAATTTCTTTAATATCATTTCACTAATGGGTGTACACTGTTATAGAATATTTAACCCAAGAAGGAGCTCTGGTAGCGTAGTGGTTATGAATCGGGCTGTGAACTACAAGGTCAGCAGTTCGAAAGTATCAGCTGTTCCGCGGGAGAAAGATGAGGCTTTCAGCTCCCATAAAGATTTAAAGCCTCGGAAACACTGTACAGGGTCGCTATGGGTGGGAACCGACTCCACGGCACATAACCACAACCACCCCATTTCTCCCACTACTATCCTTAACAGTTTGTGCATTAAGACTGCCACTAGGTGTCACTGTAAGCTAAATAACGTCAGTGAGTATCTAATGAGATCTGATTTTTTTTTAATTGAATGAGAAAAGATGGGCATGCCCTAGACATTTATAAAAAAATATTTTGAAACTGACTCTAAGTCATAAACAACTCTAGTCTGCATTTTTGCCTATAAATTTCTATGTTCTAAATATTTTATTTCGTAAAGAATCTAAGGACAGTGAAAACATTTTCTATTTTAGTTTAGAATTAGTTACATATCAAATACAGAAAAAATATGCTTCAGCAAAATAGAGAGAGAGAGATTTCAAACATAATTTACAAAATATATTAATTAAGAAGTGAGGCAACCAGGCAGATTATTAGATAAAGCATTTAAAAAAAAAATACCAAGCTATAGATTTCTATCACTAAATAATACACATAAATAAAACTGCTAAAGTGAACATGAAATACATTATACCAATTTTCAGATATAGTTTTATTTGACCATGCAGCATTATTCACAAATTAGAGCAATGATGCTACTGGGTTTTTTTTTTTAAATGTTCAACAACTATAAAGACATTTAGGTAGATTGTTGCATGGTCCTGCAAATATTCACACAGTGCTTAAGTGATTATTTTATCTGCTCGGCTTTGGAATTCATTTATGTTCCTGCTGTTGAACCAAATATACTCACTCATTCACTGTGAGAGAAACTTAGTCAGAAAAGGGAAATATGACCTTAATTTGCTGACCTGTAGAATGCGTGGCTTGAAAGCCTTTTCTTTGAACAGATGCATCAGAAACAAATCGAACAAACATTTTATTCCCAGTAGCTACAAGGGGCTCCGGTATCTTGTTACCACATAGTCTTCCAAGAATTGGTGATTTTTCCGTTTCTCCATCAAATACTTCCAAATGATCATAAGCACATTCTTGATGTTGCTCAATTTCAAAGTCACTAAAAGCCTATAGAAAAAGAAAACAGGAGGCAGAGAAGGAGGAAAGGGGAGGAGGAGTGAGAGGGTTGGGAGAATAGAAAGAGGAGAGAAAGAAGAACAAAAGGAAAGAAATCAGGAGGGAGGGAGGGAAGGGCAGAAGAAGAGGGAGAGAGAGGTACAAATCATCAAATGGGTTCTATTCTTTTGGGCAGAAATAAAGAGTAATACAATATATTCAGGGTTTCCAAATGATTTTACACCATACAGCATTTTATGAAAAGAGCATAGAGTCAACAGAATGGAATGTATCAAAAAAAGTTATGAGGAAAACAATGTAATAACTTCGTATGAAGTTCAACAAAACAATCTACTCAAGAACTGCAACAGATTGTAATAGAAAGTGCTCTTTGATCTGAACTTAATTCAGGAGATCCACTGGAAAAAATAGTCATATTAAAAGATGGATTCCGACCAATCATAGAAATACTTTTATCAACTTTAATATATAACTATTGAACATTATTCTGGCTTAGAACACTTACACTAGACAGAAATTCATACAAAGTACTTATATTTTTACAAAAAAATTAAATGGAATAAATCTTTGTAGAATAACTTAAATAAAAGGCCTTTGGCTTATGTATCTCATTATTTAGATCTTACAAACCTTATTATTCAAAAATACTAATATAACTTTTGATTATTCTTAATTTGCTTTTCAGCTAAACGGTATAGTCACCTTAGTAAGTTTTAGAAAGGTTACTATGTTTTATTGCTTATATGTTTAAAAGAAGACCGATTAGTTAGTGCCTGGTGTGGCATTGTGGAATAAGTGCTAACCACAAGGTAAGTGGATCAAACCCACCAATCACTCTTCAGAAACCATACACTGACTGGGTCACTGTAAGTCAGAACTGGCTTGACTACACTTAGCAACAGCAATGACAATAGTTGGTGCAGAGGTTTAATTGTAGGGCTGTTAACCTAATGATTGCTGATGGGAACCTACTAGCAGTTCTATGGGAAAAAAGACACCACATCATGGGAGAAAAAATGAGGCAGTTTGCTTCTGTAAAGATTTACAGTCTTGGAAAACCCTATGGAGCAGTTCTGCTCTGTCCTATAGGGTTTGTAAGAGTTGGAATCCACTTGATGGCATTGGGTTTGTTTATTTGGCTGTGGTATGTGATTTTTTTAATTCCAATTTACTTTGTATGTTGTATTTTATGTACTAAATATAATCCTGGGAGCAGATTGCCTCTGTAGGATAAGCACTGGACTGTTAACCATAAGGTCGGCCCGTCGCTCTGCAGGAGAAAGATGAAATTTTCTGTTCCAGTAAACATGCAGCCTTGGGAACCCTATACAGGGTCACTGTGAATCAAACCAACTCGATGGTATTTAACATCAAAACAAAAATATAACTATGATATAACCTTTTAAATATATATAACATGTTCATTCAAGAACATATTTGTAATTCACTGAAAATAACATTGTTCAAATTGCTATAGTTCCACATATTCCAGGTGGTTAACATTGGCAATGAATGCTCTTTTCTTTTCCATGAAAACAATCATAAATTCAAGAAACAAACCCTACTTGGGCCTACATGTTGCTGCTGTTTTTATTAAGTGCTGTCAAGTCGATTCTGACTCATAGTGATCCTATATAGGGTTCCCGAGGAGCGACTGATGTGAACTTGAACTGGCAACCTGCAGTTCAAACCAACCTTGAAGTTGAGTGCTTATCCTATGGTGCCACACCAGGACTCCTGAGCCTGTATAGCAAAGCTTAAAAATTACACAAAAAGGAAACCTTAAGAAATACAAAATATCATAAAAAAAGTCATTAACTTTGTTATAATCCCTATAGCATAAAACATTTGCACAGAAACTTTTACAAAAAATTTTACTTTAAAGCAACTTTGTAAAGATGTATAATGTATATACATTTTGCAGTTTTGAAGAAACAAAACTATAGGAATGGTTCTCATCCTGTTTTTCTATCCCAGAGCACATCACCACCTACTATTGCTTCTGACAAAGGAGGAAGAAAGTCAGCAATGTGTACTAATTAGGTAGTAGGAGAAAGGAATGAAAAGTACTTTAAAAAATAACAATAGAGCAAAAAAGAGATCTTTTTTGTACCTAGTATCTTCCATGCCTTGTTCCATGTGCCCTAGTCTTAAAAAGTATGCATAAACACGTTATAGGAAATAGGTATTAAGAGTCACTATTTGTTATTATCATTATGGCTAAAAGGGGTTGCTCACTTAGTTCAACCAAAGATACTGGGTATCTTTGGGTAATGGGAAAACAAGTGTACATAGAAGAATGGCAGTAGAAACAGAAAACTGTGTAGGAAAACATAGTGGGAATGAAGACTTAAGTAGAGTTTATTTATCCAAAGTACAACATGCAAAGCAGGCTATCACTGAAAGAGTTTGTCACCTAATCATCTAGGTAATCTAGTGGCTGAGAGTGGCATGGTGGTGGTCATGTGCCGTGGAGTTGGTTCCGATTCATATGGACCCTGCATAGGGTTTCCGAGGCTGTAAATCTTTATAGGAGCAGAAAGCCTCACCTTTCTCCATGGAACAGCTGGTAGTTTCAAATTGTTGACCTTGAGGTTAACAGCCCAACTCATAACTACTATGCTACAATTGTGTCTTGGTGGTGGTTGGTGGTTATGTGCCGTGGAGTCGCTTCCAACTCATAGTGACCCTGTGCAAGTTTTCTGAGGCTGTAAATCTTTAAAGGAGCAGAAAGCCTCATCTTTCTCCCATGGAACAGCTAGTAGTTTCGAACTGTTGACCTTGAGGTCAGCAGCGTGACTCACGACGAGAGTAGACACAATAAGTACATGAGATTGCAGTTCTTACATAGATGGTTATTGATTAAATGTCTGCATATGCCTATCCATTGATCTAACTATCAATTGTCCTAACTATTAACATTTACAATTCTTATGCATGAAAATGCTGTACTAGCAGCAAACAAAACTTTTGGTATCCTGCCTTTCATGATATAGCAGATAGTTGGCTTATTTCTATTACCTTTGAGTGTGCATATACATTCTGATTACCCATTTGTAACTCTCTAGAGAGAAACCAATAAGAGAAAATTGACTTAATTAATTGCATCCAGAGTTCTTTATTAAATACAACACCAAATCTTTGAATGATAAGTAATGCTTATTCAAGAGAACAAAAAAATTTGTTTCAGGAGAAAATGATCTGAAAACCACTCTGTATAGTACTTTACAATGTGTTTTATAGATATTCATCTGTAAATATTGTTGTTGTTATTGTTAGGTGCCATTGAGTTGGTACCAAACTCATAGAAACCCTGCCTGATCCCAGGCCAACCTCACAATCATTACCATGCTTGAGCCCACAGAAAAGAAGATTGGAAGAAAGATGGGGATAGTGGCATTCTAAAGTGTATTCATTATACACGTTAAAACCTGGATAAGAATTTATAATAAAAAATATTCAGTCCATTCATGGGCTCATTGTAAAGAAAGTGGATGAAATGACAGACTATTTCACTCCCTAATGACATGCAGGAGGTCTGAAGTAAATCATAACATTGTTTACGAGAACAAAGTAACAGTGTACAATGTGGGGCAGGCTGGGAAGGAGGGATCATGATGATACCTGGTCTAGAGCCAAATAGTTTCAGCTTTTTATCAAATTACTAATGGAATCAGACTGCACCTTTAAGGGCAATTTAGGCAAATAAATGTCTGAGGTATACGTCAGCAGTGCAAACAACTCTTGTTCATGAAGGTATTAATGAATTATCCTCCTAAAATAGAAAGCAGCTTATTAGATTAACTGCAAAATGTGGGTGGTCCTTTTGCAGAAGTCAGCTTACCGCATAGTCCACCATACACAGGCAACGATGTCATCTACTTACATGCTGAGATCTCATAGTCTGGCCCTTAATATCATAGAGCAATCTCCACATATAGTGTCTTTGGCTCAATCAAAATACTTCTAGGCCACAGAAAGGTATTAATGGAGCCTATGGACAGTTGTAATAACTTTTCTTACATTTCTTAGAATCCTCAAAGAAAAAGTGAAGTACACAATTTATTATTTTATGACACATGTTGAGCCATGCATCTCTGTATCTAAATGATAAAGAATGTGCACATTTCCAGTCTCCAGGAACCAAAGCCACAGAAATTTCTCTGGAAGACATGTAGGTTCTCCATCCAAGCTCACAGTGAAGACAAGACAGCTGGAGAAGCTTGCCTATCACTACATATGATTTTCATAGAAAATGAGCACCAACACTTACAGGCATATAACTGTAAGTTACTCTGATTTCTGCTGAAACACTGTTTGTTTGTTTGTTTGTTTTAACTTAAAATATTTTTCTTGCATATTTATGCTAAGACCTTTATAGACATTTTTGTATTACAAAATTTAATTTATCTTTTCCATTATTATACACTGACTTTAGGGTTGTTAATCTAGGTTTCAGAAAGACCAGGAAAGAGTGAATACGTTTGGTCTCTAGTCAGGCATCCTAATGCATTTACCAAAAGAAAAGATTAAGTACTATAATTCAAAAGAAATCAAATTGAACTCCTGTTAAAGGCTGTGGAAATATTAACTGTGTTTCTGGAACACCCAAACAAGCTTAATCTACCTAGCTGGCCACTGGCCAAGCTTCCATAAGCAGTACCCTCATATGAACATCCGTAAAGCTGCTTTTATTAAAAATGTAGGCATTGGTTGACGGATAAGTCCATGCAGAGTAACTGCATATATTTACAAAGGACAAGATGATAAAGTGATAACTTTTACTGTGCAAGTAAAGTGTACCCAGGGTGAACATTTATACTAAGAATTAAAGACAATGATGCAATTTGAGCAGCTGTGGGATAAACTTTAGAGCTCCTTAGTCCCAGCTATCTTTTGCCTTTTCCTGTCTTTGGTAAAAACTGTTATTTGGTTTCCCACAAGATATTTAAAGTATTAGAGGACCTGGAAAAAATCGCAGAGTGGAATAG